GCTGCCAACTAGTGGTCAGAGGCTGAACTACAACATAAAAATGAACGGCTGGCAGGAAAGTTGACATTTTAAACCTTAATTAAAAATCGATACAGGGCTTTASAAHRTCGATACAGTATCGGGAAATGAAATATCGCGATATTTCAATGTATTGATATTTTCTTACACCCCTATAATAAACCCTGCTGTACAAAACAGTAAACTGTGTTTTTCTGAGATTGTTAGAAACAAGCATAAGGGCTGTTGACCCTGGAGATAAGTGTAATTGCTCATCATCATTGTAATGACAGCCTTAAATGTGATGCTAAATGCTGTTGAAAGTGAACTGCTCTGCAGTTCTGTCTATGGTTAACAGCAGCCTGTCGTTCAAACTGTAATTATATTCTGAGGGCATTTTTCCATGTTGTAGTAGGCACAGCCCAGAAAGGGCACAAACTCTATTTATAGATGAGCCAACTGTGCTTTAACCATAGCTCACTCAACAAAAAGGCTTATTTATATTCCTCACTGAGTTACCATGCTAATCAAAAAGAAAACATATATGTGAGGAACCCCTTTTTCTGCAGAACAATGCTGAGGAAGAACATTTATATTTACATTTAAATTAAAAACTAGCATTATTTGAAATAATGTGTATTGTCTGTCAGCTTAGATAAAGTTTTCAGCGAATCTCTTGGCATGCAGAGTATTTGTTGAGGACGGCTCCATTGATATATATTTTTGGATTGGGCATGTCTAGCATGTTGCTACATGGACGTGCACACACTGGAGCTCTGTTCTGCACTGAGGAGCCTCAACACAATGAATGGAGGTCAGTGGACTGTGAGGTGTCTTCCTGATGATAAACTCTTATAACTTCCTTATTTCTTGCTCCATTTTTACAAACTATGGTTCAAAATAAAACTGAGGAAATTGTGAATTTGATAGTTATGGAAATTTTAGATAAAAAACTAATTTTTAATGACTAACAGTGGCTTAAAATAAGTATTTTGCATTTCACAAGTGTTTTCTCATACAAATCAATGAGTTCTGACCAGCTGGATATTCATACATTTATTTATTAATCAGAACTGAGTCTTAGATATTTAAAATAATAAAATTAATATTTCAAGTGTGTGTGTACTTGAAAATGAATTAAAATGCATAAATGTCTATTAATATACACGTGTGTGTGTGTGTGTGTGTGTGTGTGTGTGTGTGTGTGTGTGTGTGTGT